TAGGTGGTCTGAGGATCAAAACCAGGGCCTTGCATGTGCTAGGCGAGCGCACTCTACCACTGAGCCACAACCCCAGCTCTCAAATCAAGTTTTTTAAAGGACTTCCTCCCCGCATCTCAAATTTTGTTTTCTGGAACAATTTGCAGAGGTACTTCTATTTTCTGGGAATTATTTTCGGGTGCATCATTTCCTTTGACCATTTTGCTTACTGTTGTCTTTCTCTTGCGATGCAGAAGTTTTTTCATGATTAACAAAGAAAGCTCAAAAATTCACCTTTCCTCAAAAAGTTCTGTATCTTTTCCTTGGTGAGTCCCCTCCGGGCCTCGCAGAGAGCAGACTCAGGTGCGCAGCCCCATCTCTGCCCCCAGCAGGCACTCATCTAGTGGGGAAGCTCTGTCTCCATCTCTGAAATCTGGCTTTGCAAGAGATTCTGATGCAATCTAAAGTTTTCATATAAAATATATTTGTATCTGGGGCTGGGGTGTGGCTCAGTGGTAGAGCGCTTGCCTAGCATGCATGAGGCACTGGGTTCCATCCTCAGCACCACATAAATGTAAAATAAAAGATACTGTGTTCACTTAAACTTAAAAAAAAACAAATATTTATATATATATATATATATATATATATATATATATAATATATTTGTATCTGCAAAAACACTACGTCCAGAACACATAAGTGCATATATTATAAAACAAAAATGGTTTAAATTGAATGAGCTAAACATCTATGTCAATGGTTAGATAAAGAATAGGAGTAAGAAGAGAAGAAGCAAATGGAAGGAAATAATAATGAAAACAAACAGCCTGGGGTTTTTTGTTTGTTTGTTTGTTTGTTTTAATGTAGAAAATTTAAACAGACACTTCAGAAAGGAAGCTTATGGATGGCCCAGGACACATAAATAAAGACATCACTAGCCATCTACAATGCAAATTAAAACTGCAATAATTAAAACTGCCTGAAACCCACCACGTAGCTAAAACTTAAGACTGACAATACAAGATGGAAAAAGACGCCACGCAGCCAGGATTCCCATGCACTACAAAAGTGCACCTGCTGCTCTTTTTGTGAACAAGGGTTTTCAGTTCCTTTGACTTTGTTTCTTGTAGTGCACAGAGGGCATCACAGACATGCCGGCTGAAAGATGGACACAGAGTCGAAGACACTTTCTGATCCCATATGTGAACACATCAGGCAGATTGATCTGTGGTGGTAAAGATCACAACTGTGCTTCACAGGGGGAAGGACTGGCTGGGCAGGGAACTAACTTTCTGGGTGATGGAAATATCCTGTATCTTGCTAGAAGTGTGAGTTACAAAACTCAGAACTATACTTTTACTCTCTATGTATTTCAGTATCTGTAAATTATACCTCAACTTAAAAGAGTCTCATGGGCTGCATCTAAATTATGCTTAAAGTTGTTTTATGGCACTAAGTGCATATATTATAAAACAAAAAGGGTTTAAATTGAATAAGCTAAACATCTATGTCAATTAGACTAAAAAATAGGAGTAAGAAGAAAAGAAGCAAATGGAAGGAAATAATAAAGATAAGAACAAAGTTTAATCAAATAGAAAACAAACATATAACTGAGAAGATCAACAAAACCTACATTCAAAAAAAAACTAGCAAGAAATTCATGATAGAAACGGAAGAGCTATGTAATCAATATCAGGAATGAAAAGGGCAATATCCTGCACATCCTACACAGATTAAACAGACAATAACAAAAGTAATAATAATTTAGAAAGACAGTAAAAGGATATATAAACTGTTATGCCAAGATATTTGAAATTTTAGATTGAATAAACAATTTCTAAAAAAAAAAAAAAAAAAAACTCCTTGCACAAAAGAAGTGGAAAACCTAAACAATCCCCAAGCTATTCCAATAAATCAAACTGATTGTTTTAAACTTCTCCCAGAAGAAACTCCAAGCCTGTGCAACTCTACCTACCAAAGATGTAAGGAAGGTATCATGGCTGACTTGCACAGAAAATTCTGGGACACAGGAAAAGATGAAGCGACCCTGAATCCATCTAGTGAGATTAGCAAACCTAATTGATAAAGGCAGTGGGAGAAAGAAACATGAAGCCTGGCAGGAAGATCAGGCCTGTGATCCTCAAGACTCAGGAGGCTGAGGTAGGAGGATCACAAGTTCAAGGCCAGCCTCAGCAACTTAGTGAGACTCTGTCCTAAAATAAAATAAAAAGGGCTGGGAATGTAGCTCACTGTAGAGTGTTTGCCTAGCATATGTGAGGCCCTGGCTCCATCCGCAGTATGACAAAAAAAGAAGGGGGTAGGGAGAAGTAAAAGGAGGAGGAGGAGGAAGAGGAGGAGGAGAAGGAGGAGGAGGAGGAAGAGAAAGAAAAGAAAAAAATATTATAGGCAAATATTATTTGTGAACATAAATGCAAAAGTCCGAAACAAACAAAAAAAAATCAGCCAACTAAACCCAGCGCTATATAAAAAGAATGATACATTCCTGCCAAGTTGACTTATACCAAGAAAATAAAATTGTTTGTTATTTTGTTTTGTTTTGTTTTGTTTTTTTGGTACCAGGGAGTAAACCCAGAGGCATCTAACCACTGAGCCACATCCTCAGCCCTTTTTATATTTTATTTTGAGACAGGA